AAGGTACCTCCTTCTTGAATAGGATTTGGTACAAAAGTGTCATGAATATAGATCAATTTTGAATTCATAGTGTTTGGTTGAGAGTTTTCAGTGGACTCAATGTGTATGTTTGTGCTTGTCACATTGGTATGATTTGATTCTCCTTAAATTGTAGGGTTAGGAACACTGAGCATATGAGAATCATGTGATGAATTATCCCTTCTGATAGGAGTCTCAAGTACCATTTCATCATAAAGCACTTGATGTGAATGATTTGACCTAGAGGGGCTAAGTGAGTATGTTGAGTTGAATTAGTAGTCAATGAAGTCTCATTATGTAGTTGTGGATAAGGAAACTCAGCCTCACTGAATGTTACATCTTTTGATACATAGATCCTCCCACTTTTGTCCATGCGCTTGTGTCCTTTGTATGTTGGTGATATGCTTAAGTAGATGCACTTGTCACTTGTGAAGTTAAGTTTGTGTTAGTGATATTCCTAAGTAGATGCACTTGTCACTTGTGAAGTTAAGTTTGTGTTGGCGATATGGCCTAAAATGTGGATAGCATGCACAACCAAGGATCTTCAAACTGTTATAGTCTGGATGTTTCTTGTGCAAAATATTGAATGAAATGTTGTTACTTGGTAGAGCAGAAGTAGGTAGCATATTAATGAGATACACTACAATTGTGAAACTGTGATCCCACAACTTCATAGGTAAAGTAGCATGAGCCATAAGAGTCAAGCCCATTTCAACTATTTGTCGATGTTTTCTTTTGAATTTTCCATTCTGATTAGAAGTGTAGGGGCATGGTAGTCTGCGCTTGATGCCCATTTAACTTTGATATCTTGTGAATGGCCTGAATTCTCCATCAAAATCTGATTGGATGACCTTGACAGTTGCGTTGAACTATGTCTTGACAAAGCAGTGGAAGAGTTTGAATGCATGAAATGCATCACTTTTCTATTTAAACATGTAGATCCAAGTATACCTTGTACAAGCATCAACAAATGATATGTAATATGAGACCACTTTGGGAAGGAGCTGGTGATGCCCCCAAAAGATCAATATGAATTAATTCAAATGGAAATTTATAGGAAGTATGAGTTAGAGGTGCATGCAACTTATGAGATTTGCCTAAACAAAAATCATGACAAACCACATCAGGTTGTTCATTATTGAAAGAGATATTACAAAGTCTAAAAATATGATAAATGGCCTTTGAATTTGCATTACCTAATCTATGATGCCAAGTATTAACATTGTCTCAAGGCTTGGTACTGACAAATGTATTATTTATAGCCAAATACAATCTATGAGAGTTACTGAAATTGAAGCTAAGTGACTCATGACTGACTTTGTTGAGGTATTATAAGCCTCATTCATTAAGAAATACTTCTAGCACAATGAGATTAGATGCCTATGATTTTACAAAACACTTATTAGCCTAGAACTCGAAGTACACCTTGTTGCATTTAGCAAATTTGGAGATAGATAAAAGATTTCTAGTGATATTAAGGACATATAGTATATTACCGAGTAAGATATTAGTGTTAAGCATGCATGATGAATGTGTTGTTAAGATGTGACCATTACCAACAAGAACTTTATTAGGAAAGACTCTAGAATGAATTAGAGGTGGCAATTGAATCCATTAAGGCAAAATCCATCCAATCCATCCATCAAAAAATCCATCCAATCCATTCACCACACAAAAAATAAGTTAATGGATTGGATTAAATCCATCCATTTATATGCATGGATGGATTCAATCCATCCAACATATTTTAAGAATCCAATGAATTATTTTTATTTTCGTTAGATTTATTTATTTTTAAATAGATTTTTTTAAAAATAATTAAAAAACTATATTTTTTTTCTGAAAAAAAAAAGTTTAATTTTTTTTGAAAAAAAAATCTGTTTTTTTCGGAAAAAATCGGTTTTTTTTTCAGAATAAAAAACTGATTAGTTTTTCGAAAAACAACAAAAAAATTTCTCGAAAAAGAAACCGACTTTTTTTTTTGGAAAAAAAAATCAATTTTTTTTAACGAAAAAAATCGGTTTTTTTTCAGAATAAAAAACTGATTTGTTTTTCGAAAAAAACCAATTTTTTTCAGAATAAAAAACTAATTTGTTTTTCGAAAATAAAATAAAAAATTTTCTCGAAAAAAAGACCGACTTTTTTTTTCGAAAAAATCGGTTTTTTTTTCAGAATAAAAAACTGATTTGTTTTTCGAAAAAAAACCGACTTTTTTTTTTGGAAAAAAAAATCGTTTTTTTTTCAGAATAAAAAACTGATTTGTTTTTCGGAAAAAATAAAACTTTTTCTCGAAAAAAAAAACCGACTTTTTTGTTTGGAAAAAAAATCGATATTTTTCAAAAATTAAAATATCAATTTATTTTTGAAAATACAAAAAATTCAGTTTAATAAATATATTAAAAAATAATTTTTTAAAAATACAAAAAATAAAATTTTCAAAAATAAAATAAAATAAATTTTTTAAAAATAAAAAAATTTATTTATTTTTACGAAATAAAAAAAAGTTGGATGGATGGATATCCATCCATTAAAAATATGTTAATGGATGGATTGGATGGATTTTATTCTTAATGGATGGATTGGATTGGATAATTTTAAGAAAATTTTAGTGGATTGTTAATGGACTAATGGATTGTTTTAATCCATCCATTAACAATCCAATCAATATCCATCCAATCCATCCATTTTGCCACCCCTAGAATAAATGTGTTGTATATTAGAGCTAAGGAAAGTGATATGATGTGATACACCTGAGTTGGCAAACCAAGCTCGAGATTCAAGGCCTTGTGGGATCTGCAGCATATCTTAATGTTCTAGTAGTGGAGTTGCTTGTGTAGAATTAACTCCATAACTTGTATGATTTGTTTGGACCTGATTATTTGCAGTTTGGATTGTTTCTTGGGTTAAACGTTAACTTGGTATAAAATACTCATCAAATCTACGCCAGCACTCCATGACAGCATGTACATACTTGTTGTATAGTTGGAATGTTGGTCTATTTTTTGATCCATTCATTTGCCTACCACGACCTCTGTCTCTAAAGCCACGACCATGACCTCTTTGGTGTTGCAAATTACCATTACCAGTTCCACTTTTGGAAGAAAAGCTATTGTTCATGGTATTATCAATTTTAGATGTAGCACTTGGAGTTGTAAGTTCTTGCTGATACTCGTCTGTTTGTGCCTCTTGCACATAGAGTAGAGCTTCGACCTTATAGATATTCGTAGACTCAGCTTTTCCATATATCATCATGATAAAGGGATTTTACTCTTCAAGGAATCCTTGAAGAATCACTTCCACTTTATCTCTTTCAGAAATTGGATCCCCGATTGTAAGCAAAGAATATGCAATAGCTCTAATTCAAAGTACATATTCAGATATAGTTTTGTTACCTTTCTTGATCATTCTCAGTTCAGCAGGTAATTGATGAAATCTAGCCTTCATCTGAGCTTGAAAAATCTTGCGCACTTTGTCCCATATCTCATACGCGTGTTTGCATGAGAGAACTCTTGGTAGCATTGCCTCAGAGATTGTTGATAGAAGCCACATGAATAGTGCTTGATCCTGAACTATCCACGTTTCATATTCTTCTGAAACAATGATGGACAAGGGATCACAATCCTTTTTGAACATGACTAGAATTTGTTGATTCACTACCACCTTATACAATTTGTGTGATAATATCACACCTTCTACCTGTGGATTCCACAGTAGAAAGTTATTTTCTTGAAGTTTTATTGAGAGGTTCAGTGCAAACGTGTTACCCGAGCTTGAATGCACCATTGTTGATGTTGCAACTTGTGAAGATCTCACCATATTTTATGTCGTGATGCTTTCTTGATTCGTCATGAAAGCTTCACTGAAACATGGTTTGAAGAATTTTGCAAACTTCTTTGAAGCATGAAAGCAGTAAAGGGTACTCTAAACACATGTATAATGCAGATTGTTGTAGTGATATGAATCAAGGATGAAGAAGAAGAAGAAGATGGAGTGGAGAGGAAGAGAGGTCCCTTAAGCGATTTATACCATATAAGAGTTGAAACCGAACTTTGTTCATTTTTATTTCATTACCTTTGCAGAGCTTGCATGGAGTGAATTTATAGATGTCATGCATGATCTTAAGTTTGTTACACCTTAGAAGAGTTAGTTAGTGCACCTAACTAACTTTCTCATTTTCCACACTATATTACTTGCTTACTAAGCTAATACTCTTATATCTCCAATAGAAATATTCAGATAACACCAACTCTAATTAAACGATAGAGAAAAAAAAGAAACCAAGCAATAGGAAAAGCCAAAACTACCAAAACCAACACTAAACAAGAACAAAAAGCAACCTCACAACCGTGAAGCCTATCCTGAAACCTCAGGTCAAAACGGACTGCCAGAGAAAGCAAGCTATTAAAAGGTAGGCATGAACACCTGAACAAACATGGAGGGCAAGTGGCCGTCCAACAAACCCCTAACTACCTAGTCACTTAAGCGGGTCTCGTTCCCAATCTATTAGAGAAATGGAAAAACCTGAAACATCAGCATGAACTCACTTCCAAATCAAACTAATAATCATAGACATTCATTAATCATCAAACTTTTCCTTCTAAAAGTAACTTTGTTTCGCATTTTCCAAATAATCTAGACCACATAATGTTAAATCGAGTTTAAAAAAATCTATTTTCTCTATTTTCTAAGACTAAAATCCTTGGAATAATTCAAAAACTCTTAGAGTGACCTTGAGATATTGTTACAAATAAAATAAGATATCATATTAATTTTAGTTTGATAAACTTTCAAATAAATTGACATTTATTCTACAAATATATAAAATTTATTTAAAAATTTAATTGATGAGTTTCCAACTAAGAACATAAATGAACCGTAGGGATGAATATCAGAATGTGAAATATCCCAAAATTTTATTTATTCATTTTTTACATCCTAAACTTATATCCCTTTCCATATTTTCCAGTTTTGTTTGAACAAACATGTTTTCCAGAACCCGTTCTCTCCTTCCTTCTCTACCTTCTCTACCTTCCCACCATAAAACCCCAAACCCATCATCATCACTCTTGTCACTATTTTCTTCTTCTTCTTCTTCACAACCCCCAAACAACAAAGACAACATCATTCTATCCAGATTCCACCACAAAGACTGGTTAACCTCAAAACAAGCAACAACCTTAATCAACTCCTTAACCAACCCTTCCACCGCCCTAACTCTCTTCCATCTCTACTCATCCCGCAAAGACTACAACCCAACTCAACCCTTCTGCATTTCCCTCATCACCAAACTAGCCCAAGCCAATCAGTTCTCCCCAATCGACACCATTCTCAAATCACTCCAGCCTCACCAACGACACCGTTTCACCGAAGATTTCTTCTTCCATCTCATCAAACTCTACGCTCATCAAGCCCACAGAATCGATAAAGCCCTTGAAACTCTCTTCATGATGCCCAATTTCGGTTCATGGCCATCCTCTAAAACATTCAACTTCGTTCTTAATCTCTTGGTCAATAACAAACTACACGACGCCGTTTTCAATCTTTATTCTTCCGCTTCCAAGTTAGGATTCCAAGTCGACGCTTGTTGTCTTAATATTATGATTAAAGGGTTGTGCAAACAAGGAGAGATGAAAGCTGCCTTTAAGGTGTTCGACGAATTTCCAAAACTGGGGATTCAACGGAATGAGAGGACTTTTTGTACGTTAATGCATGGGTTATGCGAGAAAGGGGATGTGGATGAGGCTTTTGAGTTGTTGGAGATAATGAAAAGGGAAAAGATTTGTGTTGATGTTATGGTTTTCAATGTTTTGATTTGTGGGTTGAGGAAAAAAGGGAGAGTGGGTGAAGCCAAAGAGGTTTTGGAAGATGTCATGATGAGGAATGGGTGTTTCCCTAATGAGAGTTCTTATCAACATGTTTTGTATGGGTTGATTGATTTCAAGAGATTTGGTGAGGCTAAAGAGGTTGTTGAGAAGATGGCTTTGAAGGGTTTTGTTCCTAGTTTTGATTCGTATAAAGGTTTGATTTTGGGGTTTTGTAAAGAGGGATTGGTTGAGGAAGTTGATTGGGGTGTGAAGGGTATGGTTAGGATGGGTTTTGTTCCTAGGATGGGGATGTGGAGACAGATTGTTAAGTGTCTTGTTGTGCATAGAGACGTTGGTTGTTCTTTTGATATAATTTTGGATGTTGATTATGATTGAAAAATACAATGTTGGTGGTGGTGTTTTTTTTAAGGTATTGTTACATGAAATTTAAATTTGTTATTCAACAATATAATATTTTAGCATTTCTCTCTTTTATATCTTGTTTTATATTTACGGGTACACTGTTCTATTGGTATTTTGTATAATGTTCAAAAAAGTTAGAATCATTTTCATTTTTAAAAAAGGAAGAAATATTAATTTTGAGCGAAAACAATGTTTAACTGGATTGAATTGCATACTAGTTGGCTGCTTTTAAAATGTTATTTGTAATAGCATCTAAAATTGTGTAGTCTATCTACTACGAAGTCCCCAAAATAAAACATCTCATTTACATTATCTGGTATCATATTGCGTTGTTGATAAGTATGAAAATTATGTGATTTTCATTATTGTTTTCACAAACTTATTTATTTAGATGCATATAAGTAACTTAGAAAACCTCTCATTTATGCATAATATGAGTTTTGTAATTGTGAATTGATCATATTTTATAACCTTTTGAATGTAATAGGTTCAGTGGATGTAAAGCAGATCAAGAGTCAAATCAAATGGGGCAAGGAATTCAAGTCTTAAAAGGCCAAAGTCAAGCTTAATCGTTGGGAGAATTTCTCCTCAACCAGCAAATATAACACAGAAAGATTGGCATGTAAACCAGAGTAAATCCATTGGGTGGAAAAACAGGGTGAATTTGTTGTGCGAATCACACCTCGCCCAACTAATTGGAGGCTTATTTCAAAATTGTTTTAGGCAAAAAAAAAAACTCTAAAGTGAATTCTTTGAGCGAATTATCTTTTACTCAATGAATGAACACAGATTCTTAAACCTATAAATAGGCACTTACGTTATTATTTAGATATCATATAGTAAATATTGTGAATTTTTTACTCAAATAATTTATTTTTTCAAATTTATTCTCAAAATAATTTAGGTCTCAAAAAAATTCTCAATCTACCCCACTTTCAAACAAACAAAAAAGTTGAGACGAAATGGTGTTGCTAGACGAATTGGTGGCAACACTTATTTTTCTAATGGAGGCGCCAACTAGATTGACGACTGCATATGGCATTGCCAATCCAATTGACGTTAGTGTACAAATTATCAAAAGAGGTGTCAATTGACCTGATAGTGGTGTATATTGTGAATTATTTTAGTATAAATAGAGGTGTCTCCTACTATTTACTTCACTTCACACCTCATTTCAAATTCTTCTTTTATTTTCTTCACTAGCTCTATAAATATTATTAAAAGATATGGACATGTATGTTATTTCGCAACGTAACCTCCGATGAAAATGTTTTTTTGGAACATTCAAAATTTCGGACATCTTAAAAGGAGTTTGAAAAGTTAGTTAGATAGTGATATTAATGATGAAGAAAGAGTTAGAAGTATCGAGAGACTTGTTTCGTACATCTCAATTGCAGATGACAATAATATTATGCAGCGCATGTGGGTGCAAGTTAAAGTTGACAATGATGTTAAGGATATGATGTCTACGACAGATGACATTGTTTTGATTATTGTAATCTCTTAGACATGTTGTAATGTTAAGTCTTTTTTATATGTTGTTTGTGTTGTTGGTTTATGCGTAGTTATGTTGGTATGATATATCGTGTGTTGTTTGTGTGGGAAAATTGTTTGTTTTAGGGGTGTTTAGAGGAGTTTATGTTATTTTTGTTGTAACCAACAGTTGTTATATATATATATATATATATATATATATATATATATATATATATATATATATATATATATATATATATATATATATATATATATATATATATATATATATATATATATATATATATATATATATATATATATATATATATATATATATATATATATATATATATATATATATATATATATATATATATATATATATATATATATATATATATATATATAAAGACAAGGTTACAAAAAAGTAAATGTTCATGTAGAACTTGCTCCAACATTGAGACAATTTGTCTGAATGTGTCCAGGCTGATGACATAAACCATATAATCTTACCATTTTATCAATCGTATTCATTTTTGTTCTAATTCGCGTGTTGTTGCAATGAACCTTTTTCTTCTGTAGCATATTCTCGTTGTGCCAAATATGCCCCTTGATATGCAGACCAATAATCTTCTAATGATACCACTGAAAAGCTATTGTTGTACACATTGAAAATATTTATGACTTTGTAAACATTGGATAGATGCTTGGAAGCATATTGGAGAGCATATGAATATGCTGCCATGACATGGGAGCAACGCATACAGAAGACTTGAAATTTACCACAACCGCACCAACCTCTATCCAGTTGGACTCGATAGTCTTCATTCGGACTCCCCTCATTGTGGTCCCGCGTTTCCTTTACACTAAAAGTGTGTATATGAATGTTAAAGATTGTAATGACATGTGTGCTAACTTTGAGAGTTTCCTCCTTCATCACTTTCATGCAACTTTAACTGAACATTTACCCTGGCCGTAACGCCAAACTCCATTTTCGCCTCTAGTTACGAAAAGTGATCCCAACCTAAAATAGGTGGCTCTCACCAATGTGATTATTGGTAGGTTTTTAATGCATTTGAAGACGTTACTCATGAATTCAACAAGGTTTGTTGTCATGTGGCCTCATCGGTGTCCTTCGTCAAATGTTCTTGTCCAATTCTCCAATAGAATGTTATCCAATTGGCGCTAATGATTGGCCATATACGAGGTGTCTGCGCATCTACAAAGCATGTGAGACAAGACATAGCATGAGAATTCTTTCACACCTACGCCATGAAGCATGCGCAACTTGCAAACCTTAGCTACCCAATGACATCTCCAGTCTAATTGGCAAAGCTTTTAGAAAATGAAAGTGGTTTCCAATTGATTTAGTGCCACCTGTACTTTATGTATGGCTCACATTAAACAGGTACAACTACTTAGTATCTTTTGTTCCTTATAAATACACATAAAATCAGTTCATTTTCATCAGCATCAACAAATAATACTCTGACATTCTCTCAGATTATCTCATTTGTAAGATGGCTTTATTTACTATGGGTGAAATGCACAAAGGAACTCGCGCCAACATTGAGATTTATGTAAATGTTTAACTCGCTACTATAGGTTATATTTTTTCTAACACGTTATAAAATAATAACTTTACAATATATATTTTTTAAGGATCCATCTAGGTTTCGCATTCGTCAACATGAATATGTTACCCCCGACGTTTTGCTTCAACCTTATATTGAGCTTCTTCTTTTTCAAGGTCTGCAATAGAAATCTCATATGCTCCGAGTGTTCTTCATCAAACTTCGAATATATCAAGATGTCGTCGATAAACACAACCACAAACAGATCTAGATACAGATGGAATATTATATTCATGTACTCCATCAGCATTCCATGCACATTAGACATGATAACACTAAAACACACTGCGTATTTGGCTCAAATTGCACATGTTTATTGTCGTTTAATTGTTATTTTATTGTATTATGCTTGTGTTTTATCTTGTTTTCAGGTACATTTCCTAATAAGAGCCTTCCACGAAGAAATGGAGCGAAAAGAGCAGAAAACAGAGTTTTGGGTGAAAATTACACACACGGCATTCCACATGGCGTTGGCCATGGGGGTAGCCATGACGTGTAGGGTTTCTCTCACTTTCTAACCGTCACTTGACCATGTCCACCACCATTTGTACACATGGCAGACTCCATGTCTAGATGGCGGGCGCCATCTGTGTATTGGGTGGTCTGGTCAAGGACGGTTGGAGCATGATGCCATGACCAAAGATTTTTCCTCCACACGATTTCTGAAGGAGCTACGTAACTTCCAAGGCATTGTTACACTATAAATAGGACCTAGATCTTTAGTTTTAGGCATCCAGTCTTAGTTCTCAGCATAGGCATATATTCAACGTTAAAGCGATAAACAGTCACATCAAAGGGTTATCACACCATTGTTGTAACTGAGGTTGGAGCATCGTAGCATAGGAACTTTAAGCTTGCCGTCATTTTATTTTCAAGTCAGATTTACTTTCCAGCATTGTTCCAGATTCAAGTCTCCGACTTGGAGCAGGTTTTATTTTACGCATATTTTTATTATTTACTTTCCGCCTTGCTTTAATTTGTTTAATTTCCGCACGATTTATTTATCGCTTTTTATTTCAGAGATTTGTTTCTAAGAGTGAACTTAAGAGTGACACTTTGGTTCTTACCCTTGGAAATCGATCACGTATTTATTTTTTGCATGATTTATTTATTGCTTTTCATTTTAAAGATTTAATCTCTAAGAGCGAACTTAAGCGTGACACTTTTGTTCTTACTTTTGGGAATCGATCACGACTTTATTTTGCTGCACGATTTATTTATTGCCTTTTATTTCAGAGATTCGTTTTCTAAGAGTAAACTCAAGCGTGACACTTTTGTTCTTTTGAAAACCAATCACGCATTTATTTTCCCGCACGTTTTACCTATCGCTTTTATTTCCAAGATTCGTTTTCTGAACTGAACCTATGAGTGACACTTTCGTTCATTCGAAAAACCAATCATGCGTGTTTTATTTCCTTAAATGATTTATTCTAAAAGCAAATTATTTATTATGTTTAGCACTATCATGTCTAGCTAAATTTGTTGTACTGGGATGTGAGGACCGTCGTTTCGACGGTACTCCACATGTTGTATTCGTAGAAACACTTTAGGGGCTGTCTTAGATTTTAATGCAACTTTTTTGAACTTAAATTGATCGGCCATTATGTGAACGGGGCCGTGTTTCTATTTATGTAATAACCGACATCAGGTAAGATCGAAATCCGTCTGATACTTTAGATAGGAGGTGGTTAGTTTTTAATTGGTAAAAACAACGAAAGCGCTTTATTAATTAATTAGGAAAGTTTGGTATTATTAGAAAGTGATTTTAAAACTATTTTCGGACACGTTTATAGATTTAGGATCCGGTTGGCCGAGCATATGTCGGAAACCCTTTGATATTAAAGTTTGCAATCAAAAATA